CGCCCCTGGCTACCGATTGCCTTGAGCGGCCCCTGGCTTTCTAGCGGGGGGCGCTGGGGCGAGGACCTTTGCGGAGGTGGCGGCGGGGCGGCTGGCCGAGGCCGCCCGCCCCCGTGGTTCCGGGGTGCCCGGGCCCCCCCCCCCCCCCTGCCTTCCACGCGCGCGCCAGGTCGGGGGCGGGGGGGCGTCGTCGAGGACTGGTCCTCGGGCGGGCCGCGCCCGAATGCCCCTCGGTCCCCGCGTCCCGCCGACGGCCCTGGTGGGCCCTCCCCTCCTATCGGCCCTGGTGGGCCTCCGCCCTGCAAGAGGGCTCGGGCCTCTGGGGTCCGCGCGGGGGGTTGTCCTTGGCCTTGCGTGATGCTGTCCCCCCTGGCGCCCCCCCGCCCCGCTGAAGGCCCTGTCGGGCCTAGTAGCTCACAGGGGCATCATGTCTGCCTTGCTGGGGCCACCCTTGCATTCCGCCTGCGCTGCGGCGATCGGGCCCAGCCGTCGGCCTCTCGGTCGAGGTTCTGGGGCCAGTGTGAGGGCATTGCACCTAGTAAGGATGCCACCTACCTTAGGTCCCTCAAGGTGGGCAAGGACCCCGTCACGGGGGAATGTGTGTGGGGGGGGGGGCTGTCCACGTCTCATTTCTGACGAAGCATGCATGTGGCTTCGTCTTAGATAGCCCCCTCTGGGTTATTTTCCTCACCGTCGTGTTGCGCGGCGCGCGCTCGTCCTTTTTCCTGCTCTTTGCCTGTCTTTGCTGCTGCTCTGCGCACTCGCTTTCGGTCTGGTCGTGCCTACTTCATTCTTTTTCTTTATGCATAATTTCTCCTTGTCGCACCCCGGGGCGAGTTTTCACGGCGGGCTGGGCGTTTCGCTTGAGATTTTTTGTTTTAAAGAATATTATCATTATTATTGTTATTATTATCATTATTATTATTCTTATTATGATTATTAGTATTGTTATTATTATTATTATTATTATTATATATACTAAGACTCCGAAGCTTAAAATTGGCAACCCCTTCGCAGATAGAGGGCAGGTGGTTTTCAAAACGTGGCTATCGCTTCAGCGCCACACACATTCGTTTAAACAATTTGCAAAAGCTTCACGGCTTGAGGATCGCCCTGTTTCGAAATGTGGCGCTCGCCTTCGCGCCATCGAGGCAGATCCCTCAATGGAAAAGAACCGTTGTATGGGGCCTGTGAAGAGGGGATTTGGAGGGAGGGTGTATTCCAACATTGTTGGTGGCTCTTGGGTTTTCGCTGGTCCTCCTCCTCTTCCTCCTCCTCCTCCTCCTCGCCCGTTCCCCTGGGGTGGCCGCGCCCAGAGGCCGCGCGGCCCGAGGCCCAGGCCGCCGCCGCCCCCGCGGCCAGCGCCACCCAGACGGGCGCGGGGGGGGGGGGGGGGCGGGCGGACGGCGGTCGCCGGCGTCGCCGCCAGCGCTTCAGGGGCAACGTTGAGGAATCCCGAGCCCTGATAACATAGTGAAGACGTGGCCTCACTGAGGTCCCCGTTTTGAATTACGGGCAATAGATCGGGGCGGTTTGGTTTGATACATCTGTAGAAAGGACACCCTATCCCTAATCTTTCCGGCTTTCCTAAATCAGGTCGCCTCCCGAAGGGTTAGGGGTCCTTTTATGCTTAATCATACGAGGCAATAAGCCAACCGCAATAGTAAGGATGAGCGGCTTTCCAAGGTTGCCCTTGCATCCTTCCCCTTCGGCCTATCCTTGGCCGCTCTCGCTGGCCGCGCCCCGCTCGCAGAGTGTCGGCATGGCCTTCTAAGGCCCTTGCATCCTTATCGTGCATCCTCAGTGTACGGGTCGACTGTAGGCTCAGAGGGGGGAAGTTTCGGGTTCGAGATCCTCCCGAACGGCCGCCAGGGAGACGGGAAGACAGGCTCAGGGGGGGATGCACCGACTGTGAATGGCCCATTTATCACCGATGGGTGCCTGAGCGGTTTCGCCATCGGGGGCCTGTCACTGACCCATCGGCGATGTACCGTCAATTCCAGGTAGATGCGTCCCCCCTTGCGCTTTCTCCCCCCTTGGACTTCCCCCAAGGGGGGCTCGGCGGCGCCGGCGTCGGCGGTCGCCTGCGTCGCAAAAGCAGCTGCTGCGTGCTGCTTGCCAGGGCGCACGTGCCGCTTGCACACAGCAGCCCGAGCAGAGTCGTGTGGCGCATGGAGTGGTGATGCTTGGGTGGACTGTCGCCGTACTGGCTCAGTGTTGCGAGTGGGCTTGCTCTAGGGGTCTCTTTGGGCTGTTGTGAGGCCGTCCGGTGGGCGTGCTGGGTTGTTTTCTGGGGCTTCCTCGGGCCTCTCTGGGACAACCCGGGGGTTCTCTCTTGGAACTGTCCTGGGGCTGTCTGGGCCCCTGTTGTGGTGTGTTGGGGCCCTCCTGAGCTGTCTGGAGCCCGTCCAGGGACCCTCTGGGGTTGTCTTGGGCCCTCCTTGGAGTGTCTTGGGCGTCTCCAGGGCCGTCTTGGGCGTCTCCAGGGCCGTCTTGGGCGCCTCCAGGTGCCCTCTTGAGCGCCTATGGGGCCATCCTGTGGCGATCTTTGGGGCCTCTTGGGCCGTCCTGGAGGCCTGTGCAACGAGAAGCCGAGTATGCCCAAATCATACCAAACGTGAGGGACGTAACATTTGTTTTGCCTCTTGAGAGCCTCTGAGGTGGTCCTCTTCGGGGCCCCTTGGGCCGTCTCGGGAGCCAGTTGGGCTGTTGTACAGCCATCTTGGGCCGTCTGCGGCCCCCCCGGAGCGCCGCAAGACCAGGCGCCCCGTCGCGTTGTGGCAAATAGTTTTTGGTATATCGTGGACTTGATGGTATGAGCACAGCTATTGCTGCGCGTGGTCATCTATGTATATATACACATTTATACATGCATCTGCTCCTAATTTATATATACATACATATAGGCGTATCTATGTTTGCATATACCTTCATATGTATACGTATATTGGTGTGCGCACGTGTGTGCATGTATGCACAGGCTCAGTGCTGAGCTGATCGAGAGCGATTGCCTAGAGTAGTGTGGCTAAGGCGCTGAGTGCAGAATAAGGAAATACCTGCATGCGCCCAGTGCTATCGTCAAATAGTGTCAGAGACGCCGTATGAAGTACCCACCGTGGCAGTAACGAGCAATCGCCTCCTAGAGCCTTTCGGTGGCTCTTTGGATGCCTCGTGGTGTCTCTGGGGGCTTTGGGGTCGTTTTGGAGTTCTCTGGTAGGACATTCAGGCCGTCTTGGGGGCCTTTCTGAGGTTTCTTAGGCTGTCAAAGGGGCTTTTGGACCGCCTGAGCAACTCTGGGTCGCCTGGGCGCTTGGAGTATCTTGGAGGCTGCTTTGGAGCCTCTTGGGAACAATAATTATGGAGGTGGTGGCGGAAACCGTCAGTTCCTCGGAGGTCAGCTTGGGAACCAATAGAGTCTTTGAGCAGTGTGTGTGTGTGTGTGCTTATCGCGGCTTTTACACATCCGCATCTGCAGTCTGCAAGTCGAAGAAGAAGGCCTTGAATGTCAGTGGCCTGCCGCAATTGTGAACTTGTGACCATGGGAAGAGGGTAATGGACGGGATATACCTCTCCATGTATTGCAGGGATTGTAGAGAAGTCCTTGGGACACAACTCTAGGCCTCGGGCCGCCCAATGGGCTATTGTGAGTCAGGTCTGCAATCTTGGGACTTTCAGCAGCTGCACGAATGGATTTTCGCAATCAGGGTCTCGCCTGGGGATTCCTCACGGAGTACGGACATGCGTCTTGACATTTCCAGTTGCTACACGTGTAGAGAGTGCGCCAAGAGGGCCTTCGGATCGTTACAATCAGTCAACGCTTTGAGGTAATAATCAATGAATGGTTTGACGAATTCAGAGATCTCCATTTTTCAGCTGCAGTAGGAAAACGGCGTCCCTGGGAGAGTCTCCGCACTCTTCTCTCCTTATTCTTCATCGTCCTCCGCATTCTCGCTACTCCTATTCCGGCATCTTGCTATTTCCTATCGTGCGACCTCTTGCACATTCCTCCTCGCCTCCTCCCCTGCAAGAGGTCACAAGAGTGCGCCAAGAGACCCTCCGATCATGAACACCAGTTCGTGTTCTGAGGCGTCAGTGGCAATTTGGCGAATTACAGGATCCCGATCCTTTCGGCAGACAGACAGACAGAAGCCGTACGCCCGCAGGCGCGTCGGCAGGCGCTACATGTCAGAGCCCCGAATCATCAGGGGTAACTCGGGTCAGGGTTAACTCGGGTTTGTTTTTCGGGAATCCGAACCCGAGTTATCCCGGACCCGAGTTACCCCGGATAACTCGGGTGTCCAGAGCCCCCGAATCATCAGGGGTAACTCGGGTCAGGGATAACTCGGGTTCCTTTTTCGGGAATCCAAACCCGAGTTACCCCGGACCCGAGTTACCCCGGATAACTCGGGCGTCCAAACATGGTACACGAGTTCAAACACTGCGGAGAGGGGAGGACGCACGAAGGAAGGGAGGGACGCGCGACGAGCGGGGACGGGAGGCGAGGCGGAGCAAGCGAGGGAAGGACGAGCGACAAGGGGGGGACGACCGTGGAAAGCGCGTGAGGGGGAAGGAATGCGCGCGCGCGCTGCAGCCAGCCCGTTAGGGCGCACATGCCGCGTTGACGTGCTCTCTCCAGCGGTGCTCGTCTTGAATGAGATGCGCCCATCTCCGGCAACTCGAACGACGTGCGGACGTAGATGCTTAGCACATTCCAGTCTTGGATTCGTTCCCGCCTGAGCGACCGAGCTAGTTTTCACGAGCAGATGGGGGGAAAGAGGAGGAGGAGGAGGATGGAGCGGGGGAGGGAGACGAAGACTCAGAGGAGGAGCTGGAGACGTCGACATTGGGAACATACGCTAGCGAGCGTTCTTCGCCTCGCGTTGTCGATTATGGTGATGGCGATGGTGATGGCGATGGTGATGCTGACGATGATGGTAATAACGATGAAGCTGGTGGTGATGCTGATGACTATTGTGAGGGTGATGGCGATGCTGATCCGTAGCCATTTTGGCTCAAGCAAATATTGTTCGCAATAAGCGCGCCAGGCCTCTCCGGCCTCCCAGAGCGGCATGAGCGAACCCGACCACCCCGAGCAGATGCAGCTGGAGCAGAGGCAACCGAGGGCACCGGGCGTGGACTTCTCCGAGCAGGCTCCAGCGAGGGCCCCGAGCCTGGACGTGGCGGCGCCGCTCCAGTCGGGCTCGCAAGCGGGCACCAGGGCTGCAAATGTCGCGCAGTTCACGTTCGTGGAGGCGCTCGCGCAACTCCAGGCTGCGCACAGGAGGGAACTGGAGCACGTGCACAAGGAGCTGCGAAAGACGAACCGGAAGATGAGCAAGATGGCTCAGCCGCTCACGGAGGAGCGCAGAGACAGGACGGGGTCCGGCGAGAATTGGCAGCCCCAGCAGGTGAACGGAGGCGCCCAAGGCTCCGTCGCAGAAGCCCCGATCGCGCTGAAGAGCCTCCAGGAGGCGGTGGACGGAAGCACCCAGGGCGCCGTTGCGAATGCCCCGATCGTATTGGAGAGCCTCAAGGAGGCTGGCGTTCCAGGGTCCGTCCCCACGCCAGCGGGTCGAGATGTCCATGCTGACGGCGGCGCGGTGAGGGCCATCCTGAAAGCTGACTCTCCGACGGACTCTCCAAAGGTCAGCGACGGCTGGATCCTCAGCCAGGTATCCGATGCATCCGACAGCTCAGAGGACGAGACTTCTCGAAAGGGCTGGGACGCCATCGACTTCGCCATCAGGTGGAATCCGTTCGTGGATGGGCAGAACGTGGTATCAAACTTCATCAATAAGTATATGGGTAACGACGGCGAAGAGTCCCGGAAGAACAGGAGAGCATACAAGCTTGTGAAGAGTTTGCCTTTCGCAGCATTGTCGTACATTGCGATCACGTTAAACTCATTGTTCATAGGCCTCAGCATGCAGTTGCAGATGGATGCAGCAGTGAATGGCAGGGGTACAGAGATGGAAGAGTGGTCTGACTCAGTTGAGCTCGTATTTGTGGTATTCTTCACACTCGAGCTCTCCTGCAAGTTGTTAGCGGAGGATGTTTACGTCTATTTGGGTAGTGATTGGCAGTGGAATGCTTTGGATACAATCCTAGTTCTTGCAGGGTTCGTGCAGATGGTTATGGACGAACTATCAGACGCAAATTCGCCGAATCTGACGTTCAGCAGGGCGATCCGGCTATTTCGTATCACACGGGTCCTCCGGATCGTCAGGATGGTGCGAGTATGCCAGAGTTTGCGGGTCATGATTTTCTCGATCTTTAAGTCTTTGGACGCGTTGTTTTGGGTATTGGCAGTGCTTTTATTCTTCAAGTACATATTCGCGATGATCTTCATGCATGGCACCATCTCATTCGTTGATTCGTACTTCAGAGGCGACACAGGCGCGCTCACTCCTGAGGAGATGAACATGTGGCCAACTCCCCAGGACCATTACGACTACATCAAGACCAGCTGGGGCAGCATTGACCGAGCGATCATCACCCTCTTCGAGAGCATCACAGGCGGTCGGGATTGGGGGGAAGTGTATTACTCCCTGGTGAAGATTGGCGTGGGGTATGGCCTATTGTTCCTTGTCTACATCTATTTTATGGTGTTCTTGGTGCTCAATGTGGTTATTGGCACAGTCGTGGACGTGACTTCTGGCGTTGCTGGACGGGACCGTGACCGCATGGTCGAGGACGAAATCAAGGCTCTCAAGGACTACGCACATGATATCAAGGCATTCTTTCAGCAGGCAGATGCGGACGGTTCAGGCCAGCTGTCATGGGAGGAGTTCAGGACTCATTTGGAGGATAATCGCGTGAAGGCGTACTTCCAGACATTAAATCTTGATATTCGGCAGGCGCACATATTGTTCCGGCTTCTGGATTGCAACGACAATGGGGAGGTCGGGATAGATGAGTTCCTCGATGGCTGTTTGCGCCTGAGGGGCCAGGCAAAAAACCTCGATTTGCACTTGGTGATTTTCCAACTGGAGAAACTCATCAACGGAACCTCGATGATATCTGGTGGCGCTCGAGATCCCAATAGGAAGACCACAGCGAAGAGCCCGATGTACTCCACTTCTACGAATGGCAAGAGCTCCTGATCGCTGCTGGCCTGAAAGAGGTTTGGGGGGCTTCTCCTCCCCCTCATCCCACTCATCCTCTCATCATCCTCCTCTTCCTCCTCCTCTCCCCCTCGTGTTTTCTCAGTGTGGCTGATTAAGCACACTGCATCGCAGCTGTGATCGCTGGGTGAGCGATTCGGAACCCGCACGCGGAGTTGAGAGAGCTCTTGTCCTCTCACCGCTTGCAATCTGTTTCACTCTAGCATCATCCCTCCCCCTCCTCCTCCACCTCCTCCTCCTCATCGTAGCCTTCTTCCACGTCCCTCATCCTTCTCACCCCTCGCATCGCAGCATTTGAATCCTTGCCTAGTGCCCCGAGCAGGCCTCTCAATTTAGAGCTGGCCACGGCTGCTGAACGTTTAGTCAGCAGCTACGATGGGAACGGCACTGTCTCTCCGAGCGGTCTGAGCACACCTGAAACAAATAAAAAAAAAGGGTGATGGCGATGCTGATGCTGCTGCTGATGGTGATGCTGCTGATGAAGATGCTGCTGGTACTGATGATACTGATGATGATGATGATGATGATGATGATGATGATGATGATGATGATGATGGTGATGATGATGATGACGCTGGTGCTGCTGCTGATGCTGGTGATGATTGTGGGTGCTGGTTATGATGGTGATGACGGTGGCGGTGCCGATGATCACGAAGATGACGACAACGACGCTGCTGCTGATGTTGCTGATGATGATGATGAGGATGAGGATTCTGCATTGCGATGGCGACGTCGACGATACTGATAATGGTGGCGATGGCAAGATGGGTGGCAATGATGATGATGCTGATGATGCTGATGCTGCTGATGCTGGTGATAATTAGGATACTGCCGCTGACGAAGATGACGATGCTGATGATGATGAGGATGATGAACATGATGGCGACGACGATTCTGCTGCTGATGATGCTGCTGATGATTATGTTGGTGATGATGCTTATACTGTCGATGCTGATTCTGATGATGCAAACGATGATGACGATTACGATATACGATGGCTATGACGATGACGATGTTGACGACGACGAGGAGCATGATGCTGCTGCTGATTATGATGATGATGATGCTGATGATGATGCTGCTGCTGATGATGATGATGATGCTGATGATGATGCTGATAATGATGATGATGATGATGATGATGATGATGATGATGATGATGATGATGATGATGATGATGATGATGATGATGATGATGACGATGATGATGATGATGATGATGATGATGGTGATGATGGTGATGATGATGATGATGATGATGATGATGATGATGATGATGATGATGATGATGCTGATACTGATGATGATGAGAAAGAGGAAGAGCAAGAGGACGAGAAGGAGGAGGAGGAGGATCAGAAGGGATGAGAGGGAATGGAGACGTTGGGCTTTCCTTGGTTACCATGGGATTCGCCTGTCGTCTGTGAGTTTTTGGCCGCGATGAGGGCAGGCAGCCACGACACAGCAGAGGCCGCCGTTCAGGCAACGGCAGAGGTCGCCATTCAGGCAGGCCCGCTCACCAGCGGCTACCGAGGCGAGGGGCTTGCGCTGCAGACCGTTGACAAGAGGAGGGATGGGAGAGGACGCGAGTGGAGGGTGGTGGGTGGGCGGTTGGGTGTTGTCCAACGTTAATTATTGAACAATTATTATTGTTGGACCCCTTACAGGCGCCCTGGCGCTCTCCTCGTGCCCCCTCTCTCCCGTGCCTTCCTCTGTCCCTCCCTCCCTCGAGGAGGCAGCCCCGCCACGGCTTCCGTGCCTGCGTGGGAAGGCCAAGAGCTGGCGAGTGCCCCGTCGTCTCCTGCCACGGGGCGGGCGGCCCCGGGCTTGGCTGCGAGGGTCGGGGGCGGCCAAGAGGGGGCTCCTCGGGGCTCCAGGGGCGGGGGTCAGTGCAAACGGGGGTCAGCCAGGGCGCCAGCACCACCATGGAAAGATGATGGTCGTTGCCTTTGCACACGGCTCTACGAATTCCGTTCCGGGTTCGGGGTTCGCCCGTTTTGCTTTACGACCGTCCCTCGGCTTCCTGTTCGCCGGGTTTTCTTTCTTCCGAGGACGGTGAGGGCGATCCAAGAGAGCTTAAGGGAACAGGGTCAGCCAGGGGGGCACTTACCCGGGCTTGCGTGCAGGATCCTGCAGGATCCTGCAGGGCCCTGCAGGATCCTCGAAGGCCCGACTGACCCGGGCCTGCATTGGCCCTGGGTCAGTGCGTCCCCTTCGCTCCACCTTGCGCCGAATTCCGTTCAGCTCAGGTTCCCCACTGAGCTCTGCGAGGTACTTGCTCCGCTATCCGGGTTTCTCCCCGACGGCTCCTTCAGAGAGCTGGCGGGTTCAGAGAAGAAGCCGGCGGGCAGGCCCATGGCAGCTCCCTCTCCAGAGCTGCCGGGCCCATGATTCGGGGGGGTGGATGTCATGGCAGGGGCCATGGCCTCCCTCTTCTTTTTGTCGGTGCGTTCCCTGGTCCGCCCCCAGGCCGCGCACGTGCCTCGGACCATCATTTGCGAGCCCCCCTCTTGGACGACCCCCCTCTTGGACGCCCCCGAGGGTGCTTGGTTTCGGGGGCGGCCAAGAGGGGGAGTGAGGACAATGGGGAGGTTTTCGTCTTTTGAGGCTTTCGGGCGCTTTCGCTGGTCATCGGAGCCTCTCTCGCCTCGAGATGCTTTCCAGCATCTGCGCCTCGTCGAGAGATTTCAGGGGGCCCAGATCGCCCCGAACGGCCGCTGGAGGCTGGAGTTATGGGCCGGAAACCAATGGGCAACCTCAGGTGGGGATGGTCGCCCAGTTGCGCGCGGGGTCGCCCGGTTGAGCAGGCAGGATGTAGATACGAGTCAAGCTTCCTACGTACCCGCCCGCAAGCCGTCTTGCTCACTTCCATCCGCCCTGACAGTGATCGCGGGATGGCCGCGCATGATCCAGATTTAGCCGCGAGGTGCATGTTGTATTGTTTTTTGTCAGGGATGGTCGCCCTGCGCACGGCAGGGAATATGCTGGCACCCCCGCCGTCCCTGTCAAACGATACAAAGTGTTCGCGGGCCTTACGAACATGACTCAAGACTTTGCCCCCAAGTGTACTTTGCATGTTTTTGGACAGGGATGGTGGGGGGGGGCCCGCATCAGGTTTTCCGCGCATGCTCCAAATGTGGAGGTAGAGTGCGGTTTGCATTGTTTTTTGAGGGATGGTGGGGGGCGGGTCGGTATGGTGCCCTCATGGTTCCTGGGTGGACGGCTGTCGCCTGGGGTAGGGGGTGTATATAAATAAGGAGCAGTGATTGGTAGTGATGCCAGAGACGAAGGGAGCTGGCGACAGCGGCAGACTTCAACGTCTAAGCGATCCCCTGGAACCGCCCGGGCAGCGAGGGGGTGTAACGAGAGGGAAACATCCGGAGGCCCATGAACCCCGATGTAAAGATCGATTGCCAGGCCAGAACAAAGACCGCGTCACGGTCAAGAGGGTCATAGAAAGAGAAAGAGATAGAGAGAGAGAATGCGGGCGAGGCAGCATTCCACGCTCCCTCATGCCGCCCAGCCCGGCAGCCTGTTCCAGCCCACCCGCGTGCGCCGAGGCCACCCGCGTGATCCAGCTTTCATCTCGTTCCCCGCACCGTACCGCCCCCGTCCCGCTGCCCCCACACCCACGCGGTCCACCCCGCCACGCCAATCAGAGCATCCGTCGGAGCTTGATAGAACCTTCACCCTGCCAAGTCGATTGGCGAGTCTGAGGTTTCTGGTTCTCGAAGAGATGTTTGAGCCGCTGTGTTTGCGGGCCTGCGCCCCGCCGGGTCTGGCTTTAGGTAGTTTTAACTAAGGAGTTGTTGTTCTCAAGCTGCAGGAGGCGCGTCAAATAAGCAGTCGGCCTGCCAGCAGATGCCCCACGGAAGTTTCTCACCCCCCGATGGCACCCAGGGACCCACATAAGCTCCTGGGGCACCTTCGGACCCCCAGAGATCGACGAAGGACGTGCACGAAGAGGTTTACCAGCAGCATTTTACATCTTCAGTGTCTGCTGTATGTCTACCACTCCTCCCCTCTCCGCCGCCGCCCTGTCTGCCCTTTCCCCTCTCCTGCGCGCTGGCCACTTCGCTTCTCGGTGCCCCCTTTCAGCTCCATCGCTGGTGCAGCCATTCGGCCTCGCCGCCGACGAGGCCAGAGATCCAGGGGCCAGAGAGGCTCGGGGACGAGGGGGCGGTGCCGCGGCGCAGGCGAGAGGGACATCCTCCAGCTGCGGCGGCAGTTCCAAGGACGGGCTCTCGGGGAGGGTCGCGCGGAGTCTGCGCAGGTGCTCCGTCGCGCGCCCCGTGCGCGCGCTGGCTGGCGCTTGAGCTCCTGAGGCTCGCAGGGCCTCGGGGGCAGTTGTCGCAACCCCTGTCCTTCCTGTTTTCGCCCTCTTGGGCCTCCTGGGGGGCCTCCTCCTCCTCCTCCTCCTCCTCCTCCTCCTCCTCCTCCTCCTCAGGGTACGTTTGCTCCTCCTCCTCCTCCTCCTCCTCCTCCTCCTCCTCTCCTCCTCCTCCTCCTCCTCCTCCTCTTCCTCCTCCTCCTCCTCCTCCTCTTCCTCCACTCCTCCTCCTCGTTTTGGCTTGAGCTGTGCTCAATGCGACGCCGAGGGATGGAACACAGCTGCAAACAGCCAACGGCTCGCAAGCTATGGGAACTCTCGGCCAGCGCTTTCCCGTCAGCCTTTGATTGTACGGAGGAGGATGGGCGGAGAGAGGGAGGAAGAGTGGCATGTTGAGGAAGACCACGGTGATGGTGATGTAAAGAATGGTGATGATGGTGGAGGTGATTGTGATGGTGATCGTGATTGTGAAGATGATGATGATGATGAGGATGCTGCTGCTGCTGCTGATGATGATGATGATGATGATGATGATGATGATGATGATGATGATGATGATTGTGATGGTGATGGTGATGATGATGATGATGATGATGATGGTGATGGTGATGGTGATGGTGATGGTGATGGTGCTGATGATGATACCGAGGCTGCTGCTGATGATGAGGATGCTGATGAGGATGATGATGATACTGATGCTGATGCTGATGGTGATGATGCTGCTGCTGATGATGATGCTGATACTGCTGCTACTGCTGCTGCTGATGATGATGCTGATGATGCTGATGATTGTGATGCTGATGATGACGATGGAACGGATCAGGAAGAGGATGAGGAGTAGGAGGATCAGGAGGAGGAGGAGGACCAGCGTAAACCCAAGACGCATCAACGATGTTGCAAGACGCCCTCCCTCCAAGTTTTTTCTTTTTCATGGGCCCCTGCATGCAATGCATTCTCATTGCAAAAAGGGGCCCGCTCGAGGACAGCCGCCTGAAAATCCTCAGTCGTGCCACGAGACCGTTCCTGGGACGTCAGCGCCCGCGGATCAACGTGACTGTTGCGTCCCGACAGTCCCGACTCGTGCCAGAACGCCATGTCAGGAACTGAAACACCGCGAATCAACGTGACTGCTGCGTCCTGACGCTCCAAAGTCGTACCAGAACACTTGGGACTTCGACCACATGGGTCGTTGAGGCTGTGGCGAACTTTTAAGACGAATGTGCGCGAAGCTGAGGCGAGAACCAGGTTTTGAAAAGGAACCGCCCTCCATTGTTGAATTCGTTGTGCGCTTTCAAGACGGATGTGCGCCGCGCCAAGGCGATATCCATTTGCTAAAAGCAACCCGTCCTCCAGTTGTGAGATGGTTGCGCATTTTAAAGCAAATTTGCGCGGCGCAAAGGCGAGAGCCAAATTTTGAAAAGGACCCGCCATGCATTTGCGAGAGTGTTGCGAACTTCCAAGACGAATGTGCACGGTGCAAAGGCGAGGGCCGCATGTCGAAACAGACACGCACTCCATCCGTGAAATTGCTACAAGTTTGCAAGACGAATGTGCGCGGCGCAAAGGCGAGAGCCACATTCTGAAAAAGGACCTGCCCTCCATCCGTGAAATTGCTGCGAGTTCCAAGCTTTCGGGCCATGAATGGCGAGGACTTCTCAGGCGAAACGCCCTGCCCGCCTTACCGGCACGTCTGGGGGTGCGACAGGGAGGAGTTAAGTTGTTTATGAGCAAAACGGATGGAGGAGAGGGAGGAGTAGGACGAGGACGAGGAGAAGGAGGAAGAGGAGGAGGAGGAGGAGGAGGAGGAGGAGGAGGAGGAGAAGGGGCAGGAGGAGGAGGAGGAGGAGGAGGAAGAGGAATGGACGGTGGGAGGATGGCGACGACGGCGGCGACGACGACGTAACGCAGTGGAGGACGGCTCCAGCAGCTGCGCAGCCAGCTGATCCCGGGCCTCCAGGACTGGCGGGAGGACAGCCCCGCCCAGCCGCTGTGAGCCCTCGTCGACAGGTAGTCCTCATCGCCGCCGCCGCCGCCGCCGCCGCCGCTTCCGCCGCCGCCGCCGTCGTTGTCGTCGTTGTTGTCGTCGTCGTCGTTGTCGTCGTCGCCGTTGCGGTCTTCGCCGTCGCCGCCGCCGCGGTCGTCAATGCTGCCGTCGCCGCCGCCGTCGTCGTTGCCGTCTTCGCCGACACTGTCGCTGCCGTCGTCGTCGCCGTCGCCGTCGTCGTTGGCGACTTCTGTCTTGTGCGGCCCGCTCCACTCCGCCGCCACCTCGGTTCGGGGTGCGCGGCAAACGAGCGGTACGTTTCCTTGTTGGTCACCTGCTATAAGCTGCTCCGCAAGTGCTGGGGGAGGGTTGGATCGCACGGGGTGGGTGGGGGAGGCTTGCTTGAATAGCTCCGAATTCTGGCGCCCCAGCGCCGCGCCCGCAGCACCCTCAGACTGTGTCTGTGGATTGTGTCTTGAGTCTTGTGTCTCCGGTGGGGGGCGGGTGGGTGGGACTTTTCGTTTTAATATGGCCCCGGAGCCACTTTAGGTCAAACATGAGGCAGCATAAACAAGCAAAAGTATCAGGTCATGGCAAGTGCAAGGTCGATCGCCTTTGCCAGCGACGGTTCTCCACAACGATTTGCATCTGGAATGCGAAGGATCGATGTTATCGTTGATGTCCTGGGTGCCGACAGCCCTTTAGTAGTACAGGTTCGGAAGATGCTGCACGTAAGGGACCAGGGACACACTAGTTCGTATCTACTACCATGGGAGGTGCTGAGCGCATTTGCCTGTTGCAACTGGCATGTCGACAGAGCGAAGGACTTGTCAAAGCCTTGATTGGAGCTTGGTACAATTTGTATGGCCACAGTTTTTAAACCATGTCAAGACACCATGGCAGCGGAACAACTGTATTTTGAGACCGTGGGTCTTATGCGAATGCGGCACAAAGATAATGACAAGCTTCATGCCCAGATCCTGGACAGGTTGGCGGGCGTCTATGCCGCAATGGGCTCCGTCAGCATGGCGGAGAACGTGTACTTGAATGCACGAGATCAGTTGCTCAAGTCAGTTCTCCAGCCAGTTTGGATGACATGGTTCATGCGTGGAGCCTGTATCGAGACATTGTAGACAGACTCGTCAAGTTGTATCGTTCGCAGCATATGTATGACAGTGTTGAAACCGGTTTGATTGAGTTGGTTGACATCTTATCAAAATTCAGTGGACATCGGCATCCCGCTGACATTCACAGCGTCAATGCTTTGAGCCTCTTTCACCTGGAAGATGTGTCCTAGTATGCAACGTCCTATTGCTTGCTTCTCGATGTCCCACAGTACTCGTGTTCTGGATTTAAAGAGCAGCACGAGACTTATGCGAAGTCTCTGAGTATTTTGGGCGAATGCTACCAGGATGCGTATGCGTATTGGATGGCAGGGTCTTACTTCACCCAGGTCAGAAACATCATGCTGACGGGAGAGCACAGTGAAGAGTATGTTGCCTGTCCGAACAACTTGGCTGCTCTGCGTATGTCAATGGGCCTGTTGTCTGATGCAGTAAAAGTCTTCGAGCTATCCAGCTGTCTGCGCCAAACTCCGCCACCGTGCCAGTGTAGCAGAACAGCAAGAAAGAGGCTCAGTTCAAGTCCCGCTCTAGGTCAGTGCCCTGATTGAAATGGCACAGGTCCTAAGCACCCCGTCCTTGTCAACAGCTTCGGTCTCCCCGGCTTCGTCATCTTCATTCTCTTTCTTCCCCCCCCTCTTCAAGGATATTTTGGAGGCGTCTTTGGGGCCTCTTTGGGGCCTCGTTGGGGCCTTCTTATGGTCCTCTTGAGGGCCTCTGGGCGGCCTGTCGGGGGCCCGCTAGGGGCCCGTTTGGGGGGACTATGGGCCGTCTTGGGGCCGTCTTGGACGCGACCGTTCGGCCGACCTCCTCCCGAAGGTGCTCGGCCGAACCATCTTTCGGGGCGGCTGAGCGTGTCCCGTGGCCGTCCTGGAGCCCTTTTGGGCCCTCATCGGGGGGGTTTTCGGGCAGCCGCCTCGGGACTGTCTCTGGCACGTCCTGGTGTGGTTTCGGTCGGCCTTCTTGTCCGGTGTTGTTTGAAGTGTCCTTGGCCCAGGATGCCTCCAGGATTCCTGGGAGGGACCCGGGCGGCCTTCAAAGCACCCCTCCCGCTTGTCGCGTGTTGCTTGAAGTGTCTCTGGCCCAAGGTGCCCCCGTGGGCGCTCCCGTTGGGGGCCCACACGGCCTGCACGGCACCCGCTCACGAGGCCTAGAGGGCCCCAGGGGCCCCGAAACGGTGTGAAACGTCGGGGGCACCCTGGGCCAGACCAGCTCTCGGGGGCGGCCACGGGGGGGGCTGATGTCCAAGGGGGGAAACTATGGCGGGGGCCATGATATCGCCCCAGGTTTCATGGCGCCTCTTCCTGTTTCAGTGCGTCCCCAGCCTCTCCCTGGGCCGCGCTCATGCCGCCGGCCATGATTTGCGTCCTCCCTCTTGGACACCTCCATCTTGGGCATTGGGGTGCATGTGTGTCCTATGGCAGCACGGCAGCATTGAGAGTTACATAGTATATGTTTATGTACTTGACTGTTAGCCATGCGTATTGATTGGCATCCCGCGCTGTGAAATCTTTTTCGGACCAATATGCTCCACGAGGGCTTCGGATGAGCCGCAGAGCGCCCCAAATGGCACCAGCATAGCCTCGAGAGGGCCCCCAGATCGCCCAGGACTGCCCAAGAACACCATCCCCAGTGGCTGGAGAGGGCCTATGGAGGAGGACAAGATGGCCCAAGGGGCCCCAAGTTAGCACAAGACAGCCCCAAGATGGCTCACAAGCGCCCCGAGATGTCCCACGAGGGCTCTAAGATGGCCCCACGAGAGCCCAAGAGGGCCCAACATTGTTTTTATATTGTCCCAAGCTGCCCCGAGAGTACCCCACAATGACCTTCAATGCGGGCCCACGGTGCCCCCAAACAGCCCTGAGATGGCCTCGCGAAGAGCCCCCACGACGGAGCAGGAGGAGGAGGATGGGGAGGAGGAAGAATAATAAGACCAGTGTAAGTTTAAGCCCAAGATGGATTAGCGATGTTGCAGATATCCCTCCACCCAAGTTGCCTCTTCATAGGCCCCTAAAGGAATTACCTTCGGGAAGTGCCCCATTGAACGACAACCTTCAATCGGGTCAAAACACACGTCCGGGGACTTCAATGCCTTGGCTCAACGTGACTTTTGCGTTTTCGCAAATCTGAACCGAGCCAAAACATTATTCCAGGGACCTCAATCCAGCGAATCAGCGTGACCCTTGCGTCATGACAGTTGTACATCGCACGAGACCGCCACCATTGCGCACTTTCAAGACGACTGCGCACGGCTCGAAGGTGATATCCACGTTTAGAAAAGGAGCCGCCCTCAATCCTGTTAGCTGTTGCTAAATTTTGACACGAATATGCCGCAGCGCTCAGGCGAGAGCCACATTTTGCAAGCGACCCGCCCTCTGTCGTTGAAACTGTTGCAAGCTTCCAGACGAATGTGCGCGGCATGAAGGCGAGAGCCACATTTTGAATCCGAGTTGCTCTTTATCCGTGAAGCTGCTGCGAACTTTTACGACGAATGTGCGTGGCGCTGAGGTGAGAGCCACATTTTGAAAACGGCCCACCCTCTGTAAGGTCATAGATGGCGAGGAAGTCTCAGGCGAAACGCCCGGCCCGCCCAACCGGCACGCCTGGTGGTGCGACACGGAGGATTTTTTTAGAGGAAAGGAAGGGGGAGGAAGAGGAGGAGGAGGAGGAGGCGGAGGCGGAGGCGGAGGAGGGGGAGGAGGCTGATGATGAGGATGAGCAAGATGATCCTCGTCCTCTTCATCCTTCCTCCTTTTCGTCCTTCTTCTTATCTCTCATCATCATCACTATCATTAGCATCATCACCACTACAGTCGTCCCAGATTAGTAGGTCGACCCTGCCAAATCAAGGGTGCCCTTGTGTCCTGTGTCTCGCGACCCATACTTCCTACCTTCCTGTGGCAATGTGGCCCTCGGAAGGGTCTCGTGTCCTCTCGCGTGTCCTGTCCAATCGAGTTCGACTGTATCATCATCATCACCATCATCGTCATCGGCGTCAGCGTCAGCATCAGCATTAGCAACAGCATCAGCATCATGCTGATGATGCTGATCATCATCATCAAAACCGCTATCATCAGCACCAGCATCATCATCAGCACCATCATCATCTTCTTCATCTGCATCATCATTATTCATCATTATCGTCCTCATCTTTGTCCTCATCCTTCCCTCCTCACCCTCTCTCTTTTTTTGGGCTCATGGACAGCCCAGGGTCGTCGGGACATCAGAGGGGGAAATTGTTTACTCAGCACGTATCTACGCTTGTTTTTAGTAGTTTTTCCTTTACTTTTGCCCACGCACTGGCCTTAAGTAATCGCGCCTTCAGCAACGAATGTCTAGGCCGAGTAAGCCCACGAGTGCTGTTTATTCGGGCACGGTCCCTCTTCCGCGGTCTACGGGAAGCTCTAAGAGAGGTAGACCTGCGCGCGCGAATCGCCGGCGATCGATGGTCGCAATTTCAGGGGAAAGATATAACTACCGATATCGATTCCTTTTCCTCATTTTCGTCTTTTTCGGCCTCGTGGGGGTTCCTCGCCGCCACGGCTGGATACGCCGCGGAACCCTGGTCGGAAAGCACCTGGGAGGTGTCCAGGGATCAGCGTTGTTGGCATCGCTTTGCCCCATGCGGTTGTGCAGCATCCATTGAGTGGCCTCTCCATACCCAAATCCCCAAAGTCATGCTTTTTCCATGACGTGGACCAGAGACCCAGTGAGGGCCCCCAGAGGCCGTCAAGTCGAGTCAAGTCCGGTCGAGGAGCTCATGGAGGTGCCTCGCTCCGCAAGCGGAGGGCTTGAGACACTACGGCAACAAAATGCGCATACATCGGCCGGGGCTAGGACGAGGATATATCCGTTCCAGAGCGTTCTGGAACTCTCTCAGAGCGTTCCGGAACGCTCTGAGAAGGCCGCGGCGCCCGAGACATTTTGCAGAGCCGCCGGATCTCAGAGATTCCCAAATTATCCTCGCCCGAGTTCATTCTCGTCCTGGCTTCGTCTTACTGCAAGAGAGAGACGGCCCCCCGCCATGTGTTCTCATGGCCCGAGAGGGGTTCTCCGTGCGTTCCACGCGCGGGTCCGGCCGCGTGGCTCTGCCAGTTTCTTGCCAGGGCCCCCCCAACCTCGCGCCTGCCAGCCTCGCGGCGAGGGTGAGGGGTGTGCGCCAGCCCGCGCCCCCCGAGGGGCCCCCGAAGGGGCTTGCGAGGGGCCTCCGGGGGTCGACTACACGTAAGAGTGGCCTTTCGCCAGAGTGACCTTAAGTGCTGGCCAAATGGGGGTCCCCGGATCGCCGGACGCGATGCAGTAAGGGCGCCTTGTGCGCTTGTGTTTGACCCCGAAAAAGCCGCGCACCAAATGTCACTCTTACCCAGGGTCACTCTTGCGAGTAGTCGAGCGGGGCCTCCGAGGGGCCTCCGGAGTGGCCTCCGCAGGGACCTCCGGGTGCGACCTCCTGAGGGCGCTTGCTCTTTTGGGAAAGGGGCTTCGTGGGGGGGCGCACGCAGCCCCTCGAGCTGGTGCTCGTCGGTCAGCTGCTGGATCCGCTCGCGCGGATGGTGGCGCAGGCGCCGTGGCAGTTCCACGGTGGGGGGTTCCGCCGTCCACGAGTAGGCGATGGCACAGCCGCAGTTTGGGGGTGCGCGACCTCCAGAGGACGCCGAGGGCCTCTGAGATCCGACGCCCCGAAACAGTTACAGCATCGCGAAAATCACGACGAGCCCTGGACCCCATCTTTCTGCGGCAGCTGTCTCGAGCCGGATCGATCCGTGAGGGTCCTGGGGCCCGAAGCAAGGCAAAGCAACGCCTGGTGTGGACAAATTGCAACGCCCGGATTTCAGGGAGTCGACTACATGCAAGGGTGCCCGTGCACGGGCCCGCAAGGGGTCCCCCGATCGCTGAGGTCGATGCGGTCGCAGAGGCCTGCGCGCTTGGATCTGTCCACCCCTCCGCCTCCGTGAGCCGGACCAGAGGCCACTCTTGCTCAGGGTCATTCTTGCGTGTGGCCGAGGGAGGGTCCTCAATCCGCCGATGGGCTTCTGAACCCAGGCCCCGACGGCGTGATTTTTGCAGAGCGTCGAGACCCCGGGATCTGGACCCTTTCCCCAGGACCGGTTTCTCATCCCGAGTCGTTTTTTGACGGTCCCGAGGCTTGGCAAGGCCCCCCAGAGGCCGAAGATAATGAAAAACCGGCCTTCGTGATTTTTTTCACAGCGCGAGGGGGTCTGGGAACGGGCCGCCGATTGGACCCTCCGGGGCAGTGCTGTCGCTGTCGCCGTCGCTGGAGGAGCTGCTGGCCGCGGTGCGCCTGGCGGAGGAGCAGGCGGCCGAGCTGCGGCAGCGCTGCGCCGAGGCGGAGCGCGAGGGTCGGGAAGAGTTCGAGAGGACGGGGGGGCCGGACCCCTCGCCCGCGAGATCCTCCTCCTTATCCCTCCTCCTCCTTGTCTCTCCTTCTCCTCCTCCTCCTCCTCCTCCTCCTTCCTCCTTCCTCCGTCCTCCGTCCTCCTTCCTCCTTCCTCCTGCTCCTCCACTTTTTTTATTATGAAAAAAGCTCCTCCTCATCTGTCTCCTCCTCCTCCTCCTCCTCCTCCTCCTCGTCCTCCTTCTCCGTCCTCCATTTCCCTCCTCCTCCCCCTCCTCCTGCGCCTCCTCCTCTTCCTCCTCCTCCTCCTCCACCTCCTCCCTCCCCCTCCCGCCACGGCCCCGGGGCCCCCGAGTCCGGGGGGGGGCTCGGGGCAGCCAGGCCGCCCGCGCCGCGCGCGCCCGCGCGCGCCCCGCGCGCCCGGCCGCAAAGCGCGCGGCAGCCGGGCGGGCGGGCGCTGGGCAGCCCAGTCGGGGGGCGAGCCTGGCTGGCGGCACCGCCGCCGCCGCCGCCGCCGCCGCCCCTGCCGCCGCCTCTCCCTTCCGCTTCCGCCCGCCGCCGCCGCCGCCCCCGCCGCCCCCGCCGCCGCCGCCTCCTTCCGCCGCAGGCCGCCGCCGCCGCCCCTCTCTCCGCCCCGGGCCGCGGCCGCCGCCCAAGCCGCCGCCTCCTCTCAGCGGTGTTTTCGCTGTGGCCTCGCGCCTCCTCCTCCTCCTCGGCCCCGGCGCCGGCCCGCGCCCCCCCTCGCCTTTCGCCGCCCTCCTCGGCGCCTCGCCTCGCCGCTGCCTCGCCGCCCTCCTCAGCGGAGGCCCGCCGCGTGGCGCAGCTGCCGCGCCACCCGGCGCTGGACAGCGCAGCTGACCGCGCTGTAGGCGCGTGACAGCTCGTAGTGCTGCTCGTCGTCTGGCAGCTCGCGCACGTGACTGAGCAGCCACTGGCGCGCCTCTGCGCCGAGCCGCCCTGCAGTCTCCACGGCGAACGCTGTCAACCGTTCGCCGGGATAGCGTTCGTGCTTCTCCCGCTCTGCGCGCCGCGAGGCTTCTCCAGGCCTCCGGGCGGCGACGCGGACGGCAGGCTCATCCCCCGCTGCAGGGTGCCGCACAGTGACGTCCACCCACCTCGTACCATCCACGTCCTCGTACTGGACATCGAGGATAGCTCGCTCGAGGACGGCGGGCCCGTCGCCTTCGGCTGGGCGCCGGGGCCGAAAACGATCCCAGGTGGGCGCGCGCTGTTCGTACAGCGGGCGGTCGTGCGTCCACCGCGCCGCCAAGGCGCCCACCGCCTTGGCCAAGCCGCCGTGACGCCGCGCCACGCCTCCTCCAGGCTGGCAAGTGGCCGCGTGGTAGCCGTCCGCGCCAAGTGGCGCCCGGCAGCAGACCCCAGCCGCGGTCTGGTTGCAACACGTCGCAGCTGCCCGCGCCATTTCGTTGCGAGAGCATTCTGGCCGTGGTAGCAAGACGCGGCAGCGCGTCGCGGTGGCCCACTCCACGTCTTCCAGCGCGCACGCTGCCTCTGTGGGGTACTGCAGGTACGCCCCAGATCCCGGCCCGCCAGCGGACTGAAGGACTGCCTGGTTGCGCAGGTGCACTCGCTGCCGGGAAGCAGCCAGAGTTGTCTTGTGCACCGTCGCCACCATCGTCTTCTGCCTCGTCGGCCAGCCAAGCGCCGCGGCGAGCGGGGCGGCGGGGGACGGCTCCGCGCCCTGGCGCGCCAGTTCTGCGCGCGCGTCCGCCAGCGTCGCTGCGTTGCGGGGGAGAGCGCCCAGCGCGTCCGCGAGCGAGGCGGCGCCCAGGACGCGGCGCACCTCGTCAGCGGCGTGCGTCCAGGCGGCCCAGCCCTGTGGTCGCCCACTGGGCCCCCTCGCCTCCGAGCTTGCGCGGCAGGCCCAGCAGCTCGCAGGCCTCTGGTCCAAGGGGGCGGTCCAGCAGCTGCTCCCAGCAAGCCCTCAGCGCGGCGTCGTAGCGGAAGGCCTCGCCTGGCGTCGCCAGCGCAAGCTGGAGGTAGTGCTGGCTGGCGTTGCCCGCGTAGGTCGTCAAGAGCGCCGCCCTTGCCTGCTTGGAGAGGCTCCCCTGGAGCTCCTGGAGGCGAGCGAAGAGCTCCTGCAGGCGCGCCGTTGCGTTGTCGAGTCCGCAGCCTTCCTCCCCGCCGAGGTGGAGCGCGGCGTCGTCGGCGTCCCCGGGCTCCCGCAGCTTCGCGCCGAGCACCGGCAACACAGAAACGGCGTGGCCTGCCAGCTCGGGCGGCACGGCCTGCGCCCCAGCCGGTGACCAGACCAGCGTTTTCCGGGCGTTGAGCTCGAGCCCCAGCGGCGCAAGCGCCCGGTTCAGTGCCTGCAGCGTGAGCGCCCCAAGGTCAGCTCTTACCACCAGGTAGGAGTCGTCAAGGTAAGAGAAAAACCTCGCGTGGGGGTCCCGCTGCTGTAGCTCGCCCAAGAGCTGCTCCCTCCCCCTCCTCCACCTCATCCTCCTCCTCCCCCTCCTCCTCCTCCTCCTCCTCCTCCTCCTCCTCCTCCTCCTCCTCCTCTACAGTTACACAATACGAAAATACTCTCCCACTTCCCCTGATGGCGTCCCGAAGATATCCGACACCCCCCCGCGTACTGTTTTTTACACAGGATTCCCGGGCAACGGGTTTTCGTTTTTTTTTTTTTTTTTTTTTTTTTTTTTTTTTTTTCAAAATGCTGCTCTCGCCGAGGCGCCGGCCTCATTTTCGGGCCCCGCTCGTTCCGAATCGTGCTCCCGCTGCAGCGCTGGCCTCATTTCCGTGTTTCCGCTCGTTCCGAATCGTGCTCCCGCTGCAGCGCTGG